GAACAAAGATCAAGACTGGCAACCGAAAGCACAACACACCGGACTGCCTGACACCGAATTCTATCGTCGGTTGCTCCTCAAGGCGGAAGCTTCATCAGAGGGGGCAGAAACCTGTGTCATCAAGTCACGAAGCGTGTACAACCTTCAGAGGTCGAAGGACCAGCTCACGCAACAGCCTTCTCTTGGGGACTTTCGCGCTATTGTCAAAGCTGCTCCGTCAGTTCTGGGTAGTTTCGATGCGGCCACAGATAGCTACAACTTCACTTGCCCCTCTTCAGCTTCATCGCCAGAATATGAGGCAGCCCTGATGCAATACGCGAACATATCTAGTGCCGCTTTGAAATCTGCCCTCGCCAACTCGACCAGTAAACGTGTGAGGGTCAAGAGCAAGCCAGCCAATCAGTCATGATTTCTGAGTCGTGCAGAGCCAGCAGAGGCTGTCATATTGCAGAGTGACAAACTCTCTGACTCTACAATATTCTACGGTGTACAGCTTGCTTGTGATGTAAGCGCTAGCTTGACTGTCGTGCAGAATGAGTCTTTGCCATGCGCTTTGTCTAGTTTCGCTTTTATGTTTGATGTACAGTTGGAGTTTTATAAAATCACATCAGCTCACGGCTTCTTGGCAACGAGCGAGCAGGAGCTGTCGTATTGCAGGCCGATAGCCCCTGTGCTTCAAGAATGTCCTATTACCGTCCATCGAAAGCAGTGCTAGGACAGGCTCTGGCCGGAATATTGTACAGTCTGCTTCCGGCGTGTGCGCACCGTGCACTGATGCAAAAGAGTCTTGTCGAAATTGCGCGGGCTCGGCACCAGTGTCGCTGTGGTACTCAACACACGAAATCGATTTCATCCAGCACTGCTGTCGCAGCCGTTTCCAGAGTAGCCCTTCATCGCTTTCTGACGCAGCTCTACATTTCTGAGACGAGCGATATGAAGCAGTTTCCGAGCCCTAAGCATGGGATGTTGCGACTGGTGCTTCGAAAGCCTTCTCAGAAATCGCATTCCGCAAAGCCAGATCACGTTCCCTACGTACCACGAGATCAGCAGCTCGATAGTGCGAAGAAGGCAGAGCTACGATCCCAACACTGGTGTTGCTCTCTATCGGACTTGGTGCAGATGTCCGAGAACAGGCTCATCAAATTGCTCTTGAAGCTGGGAATCTTGTGGAACTTCACACGCTGTCCACATTGCAGAACAGGAAAGTTGTCAGGCTTGTTCAAGCACAAGAAGCGAGGATACGTGAGAAGATGTCAAGCGAAGTCGTGTCACAAGTATGTGCTTCCACATGCACGGCATCCATTCTTCTGTACTGGATGGGGCCAGTCATTCATTTCTTTGCGTCAACAGGTCCTGGTTCTTTTCTGCAATGTGACTAGGGTGGACACTGGCAAGATTCATGTGCTGACGGGCCTTGGAGCAAGGGCGGTGCAAACTCTGTCTGCCAGATGGAGAAGAGCTGTAAAGGCTTATGTTCAACGACAACAAGAAGCTCGGCTCTTCGGCAATCTTCGAACTTGGGTTCAAGCTGAAGTCGACGAGGTCACAGTTCGTGGAAAGAAATCAGGCAAACAAGTGACCTGGTTCCAGTATTGCGGTCTGCTCGAGCGCGGCAACCGTAAGAGCCTCACCCTTGTCAAAATGCGAGTGAAGTCAACGTCTGTCAAGCTGAAGGGCAAGGGCAAGGGCTCTGCTGTGTCTCCGGGACCCATATCCAAAAAAGAATGGAAGCAGATAGGGTTCCGTTATCTCAAGAATCGGAAAATCCTGTTACACTGCGACGGAGCACGTGCGTACAGGTACGTGCAGATACCTGGCGTGGTTACCGATTCGGTGAGACACAAGCGTCCGAGCCCCATATATGCCGCTACATGGAAGCACCGCCTTCCTCGAGATTACAGGAAAGCACATGTCAAGGGTTTGCCCAAAGACCAAGCGGACACGGTATGGGTGAAAAAAGGCACCCAACTCATAGATAATGTGTGGCGGCAATTGAAGTTGATCGGGGTTCCGAAGTCCACGAAAGCGGATGAAGGGAACATTGATGAGCGGGTGCGTGAATTTCAATGGCATCATTGGCATGCCGAGCAGGACAAGTTCGCTGCTGTCGGCAATATTGTTCGAGCTGCGTACGAGGCGCGCAGGCTCTGAAGCCATGACTGAGCAAGCTCGATCTCGTACAGCTGTTCGAGATTGCTCATGCAGCGCGTAGTTTCTGTTTCTGTACATACACTCTGCTGCACCTGGTTCCAGCGCGCAGTTTCTGTTTCTGTACATACACTCTGTTGCACCTGGCAGTTTCTGTTTCTGTACATACACTCTGGTTGAATTACCGCATTTTGCTAGTTTGGCAAGCAAGTTCAACTGTACAGTCGTTTGATGCTGCTTGCGAGAAACTCTGTAACGCAGTACCCAGAAAGCCGAAAAAGAGCTTTCTGCATGGCTGCTTGTTGCAGTCATCATGCCTGGTGACCTCTTGAAGTTGTGAATTCAAGACTTTCTCCGTCGATTCGCCAAAGCCGCACATATCCCAGTAGTAGATTGTAGAGTCTCTGCAGAGTTCCCGTTGCTGCAGCTGCCATGCAGTACGCTCATATGTTTGGGAGCCGACCCGTTGATGTTCCTGCCGTGATAGCGCAAGAAGCCCAGCTCGTGTGGAACGTGCTTCCCATTTGCATCCGTGCTGCTGAGCGCAACTACTTCGCGCGTCCATTGGTGGCCATTCAACGAACTCGCCAAGAGACCGTAGCGTGGCTCCGAGTTCTACTACAAGAAATCGAACTTCACGACGCACAGCGCCAGGACATCATATTCTGGATGACAGTGCCTTATCTTTCACTACCATCTTCCTGCTCGGGGCAAGTGCTCGAGTTCTTGTTTCCATCTGTGCTGCCCACGACAAGCGTCGAGCTAGTCTTGCAGTCTCCCAGTTGGATTCTAAGCGACTCTGACGATGATGATGTTGAGTTTGATGACCTTCGGCATGATGAGAACTTCGAAGCTTTGAAGAGCCGTAGTGAGCAAGAGCGCAAGCTCTTGGATCAGGTTCAACAGATGTGCGGTGAGTTCATGTGTTCCAACATTCGTGCGTGCGGCCACATCCATTTTCTTCGTCATCGTCAGACGATCTGGCCAGTTTCAGTACGCGAAACAGCTGTACGATGGTCACTCTGAGTCTGAGTAGGGATGTGTACATATGTACTGGGACTGTGGGTGAGGCCCCGGCCTATCATTATGCAGAAAGATAGGCTAGGCCTTGGTCGCGCTGACCATACTCTTTCAATACGTGTTTGGGGAGTTGGGGAGAAAGTTCAGGCGAAACGTGCTAAAAAAAAGATCTTGTTGGCACCGGCTGTGTCACAAGAGTGCACTTATCGCTGCTACAACGTACAAGTGCCTTCGTTGCAGTCGTTTCGCAAGCGAAAACCACCCGGACAGGGCTCCCGGGGCCCTCGCCCGCCCAAAGCCCTTAACCCTAAACCTTAAACCCTAAACCTATGACTGATGTCTGTGGCCCAGGCTCTTGCATATTGGACTGTGAGTGTGAGGGTGTCTCGCATGTTTAGGGTCTAGGGTTGGCGTCTCAGTCCTTGATGTCAAAGCCTTTTCGACACAGGATCGTTTTCAATGCTTGCCGTGCTGTGACTGTTTCAGCCAGCACGGAACAGCTGTTGCAGCTGGGCATTGGAAAAAAATATTGGCAGTCTCTGCGTCGCGCGTTTGTCAGAGGCAGAGGTGTAGTGCTCGTGTCGTAGGGGTAGTCTTGTACTGCTATGGCACCAAAGAAAAACAACCAGGACAGGGCAGTGCCCCTTCCGCCTGGGCGTGTGCAAGTCCAGGACGGTGGGGCGTCCTCAAGCCGGGCGCCGGTACTACCGCTGTCGCCTCCAGCGCGTTCGGTAGACGTCACGGGTTCGGGTGGTCCGGCAAAGAAGAAGATGAGGATGGCGAACATGTTAAGGGCCAAGTAGGCTTCCAAGCCATGTTAGTTTCTTGCAAGCGGTACCAGCTCTTCTCAAGCAGCGCGAAGTTTCAGACCATGGCGCCAAGCGCGTCCACGTCGGGACTGCGCAAGTCCCGCAGTTCCGTCACTCTTGTCTTGTTCGTGGGGAGTTGGTGACCCTTGATATATTCCAAACATGGCCCTTATACTTATACTGCCTTAAGCATCTTCAAAAAGATACCTAACTGATGGCCTGCGCCCGCCCTTGGCGGAGCCCGTGCTAATTCAGAAAGATCTTTATAAAGATTGGTAAACCATTGTTTCATATGACCCAGGATCCTTTTTCTGGGGAGTTGGTGACCCTTTATATATTCCAAACATGGCCCTTATACTGCCTTAAGCATCTTCAAAAGGGTACCCAACTGATGGCCTGCGCCCGCCCTTGGCGGAGCCCGTGCTAATTCAGAAAGATCTTTATAAAGATTGGTAAACCATTGTTTCATATGACCCAGGATCCTTTTTCTGGGGAGTTGGTGACCCTTTATATATTCCAAACATGGCCCTTATACTGCCTTAAGCATCTTCAAAAGGGTACCCAACTGATGGCCTGCGCCCGCCCTTGGCGGAGCCCGTGCTAATTCAGAAAGATCTTTATAAGGATTGGTAAACCATTGTTTCATTATGACCCAGGGTTCTTTTTGTGGGGAGTTGGTGAGTCGTGGTGCAGTCTGTGCCTCAAGCAAGGCTGAGACCATAGTTCACGGTACTTATAGTCCGCCGCTGCGACATCAGGCACCCTCAAGGGATTCAGACTTGCATCCCTAAGGTTGTACCCCTAAGGGCTCCTTTTATATACTCCAAACATGGCCCTTATACTGCCTTAAGCATCTTAAAAAGGGTACCCAACTGATGGCCTGCGCCCGCCCTTGGCGGAGCCCGTGCTAATTCAGAAAGATCTCCATAAAGATTGGTAAACCATTGTTTCGTATGAGTCGCAAAAGAACAGGCACCATTCTTGTGAAGCGTGAGGGGATTTTCCTTTCAGCGCGACTCAGCCATGGAGGACCGTCTGGAAGACTTGACGCGTGCCGCCGCGGCGCAATTTGGGGCAGGGCTCCGCTACGCAAGCGACTTTGGAACCAGTTGGGTGTACCAGCAACTCGATATGCAAAGAGGCAATCGGGTGTCCAAGACTGTGTCGCGATTATACATGTCGACTTGGAACGCATTGGACCGCATGTATCCAGAAAGAGTGGTTGATTGGCCGCATTTGCCTGAGCCACGTCCGATGTTGCACGAGGAGACGCATTTTCATGCCCTGGGACGGACAAAGCCATTGACACAAGATGTCATTCTGTCTGCGTATTCGCCGCAGGCTGTGCGAATGGCTGCGCAGGGGAATGAGGATGAGTTCTTCGCCGCGATTTTTGCTAACCCGCCTTTGCAAATGGATCTGACGTGGACAAGGAAGGAGCGCAAGCGCGGTTTGAAGGGGCCCACGGAGGAGTGGCCCCTTCAGGCGCAACATCTGGCAAAGGAAGAGCAGCCCTTGTCGCAAATTTTTCAGCGGCCGTCCACTGCGGAGGTCACGGAGGTCGAGGCGGCAGGAGTCGGCGAAGTGTACCGCTTTGACTACACGGAGCAGGCGGTGAGACATCAGATTCATCCACGGCGACTGCACAATCGGATATCCGGCTTATGCTGGAACGCCGGCGCGGTGCGCCAGGGAATCGACATCTCAGCCTTCCTCGCAGGCACGTGGTCATACTTAGCCATGCAGGAGTGGGTTTCGGGTTTAAGGTTTAGGGTTTAGGGTTTAGGGTTTCGGGTTGAGGGTTTAGGGTTTAGGGAATCGACACCTCAGCCTTCCTTGCAGGCACGTGGTCATACTTAGCCATGCAGGAGTGCGACCTCATGGATTTGCAACGGTTGGAGAGCTTGGAATACAGTGTCGTCGCTGTCGCAGAATCAGGATTGGCAGTTGCAATGCCCGAGGATTTTCTGGCTCGGAGCGGGCAGTTGGTTCAGGCAGTGACTGAAGACCTACCGTCGGGGCAGTGGGCCTTGAGGGGGATCTTCGGCAAGTTCGACCTAAGAGTTCCAGAGGGGTGGCCTTTGCAGCATCTTGTCGTGGGGTCTGCTCACCTAAATAACATGGTGGCACGTGAAAAGAGAGGACGAACCAGAGATCTGCTGCAGCAGTTATTTGCCGCGGCAGTGGAGGCTTCTTGCGACATTTTAGGTCTTGACCTGAATCAAGGTTTGGGCCAGTTGTCGGATGAACTGAGGATATTCATTCAGAGGAACAACTTGCAGCCAGTCGCAACAGAACTGTTGGGAAATTGCGAAGGCGATTGCTGCGGGTGGCTACAGCTTCCTGGCTCGCAACTCTTAAATCTGGCCGTACAAAGACACGGCCACATCCCTTTCGACCATAGAGACTTGCGAATCCGCATGTATGACACGGACTCCCACTACCCTGCCTTCGTCTTTCACTCCGTGGACAACAGTCGCACCAGAGGAGAAGCGAGCACTGCAAGGCTCAAAAGGAAAGAACGTAAGGAGGAGAAGCTGGAGCAGAAGAGAGCCGCGAGGGCAAGCGCTTGGAAGAAACCGGTCTGATGGTCTCATGCTAGAGTCTCTGCAGAGTTCCCCTTGCTGCAGCTGCCATGCAGTACGCTCATATGTTTGGGAGCCGACCCATTGATGTTCCTGCCGTGATAGCGCAAGAACACTGCGCACCCCTTAAGATGTTAACTTGATTTAATGCGATTGATTTGTTGGGGACAGCCTTACTGATAGTGTTGCTTTTGGAACCAAGGCTTTGTGGATCATAGGAGGCTCTGTTGGCGTATATATATATATATGTGCATATGTGTATACATGAATATATGTATATACATATATATATATACATACGCCTACATGTTTATGTAGGGTGTGTATGTTTATATATATATATATGTATGTATATATATATATATATCTTTTTTATTTAGTGACTTACGGTATTTACTTTTAAAGGGACTAGAGCAGTCGTGGGGCAAATAAATCATCGCTTTTCGGGCTCATTAACTCCCTAAGGTCAGCCATGTCGATGAGATTCGCAGCATCCGCGTGAACAGCTCCGACGGTGGCGAGGCCGATGCAGAGAAGATCATCGTCGCAGTCGACAGGTGTGGGCTCTTCTAGATGATGGTCTTTCATAGCGTGTTTTTGTACATCCATGTCATTCTGTATATCTATGTTTAACCTATCCTTTATCTATCTGTATATATATATATATATGTGTGTCTGTATATGGATATGACATGTATATGTGCATGAGCATGGGTGTATGTGTATGTGTATGTGTAGGTATATGTATATGTATATGTATATGTATATGTATATGTATATGTATATGTATATGTACGCAAGCATCGGACATTTGCATTGCCAAACAATATAACCTATAATAAGGGTTGTGCCTTCTGTTAATGCAGTTTGTATGTATATACAGAACATACATATGCACATATACGCATGTACGTATGGCACTGTGTCTGATACATGATCTACATTAAATGTGTTTCGTTATATCTCTCTCTCTCTCTCTCTCTTTCTCTCTCTCTCTCTCTCTCTCTCTCTCTCTCTCTCCCTCTCTATACATATACATATATATATATATACACATAGACGGTAATTGCCATTGTCTTTATTGTTGTCATTATCATTAGTATTTGTTAGTCTATATACATATATGTACGTACATTACTAAATGAACAGCTTAATAGTTGCTGACGCGCGCAGGGGGGGGGGCTGAAGGGTGGGGGGGGGGGGGAGGTGGGGTGGGGGCCGTGTTACCAGTCCGTGCGATTGGCCAGAGCATCCATGCCCACACGATGATAGCGTCCGGGTTACCAGAGCATCCATGTCCGCACGATGATAACGTCCGTGCTACCACTGCGTGCGAATGGCCAGATCAGTGAGCATCCATGCCCGCACGATGATAACGTCCGTGTTACCAGAGCATCCGTTTCCGCACGACGAGAACGTCCGTGTCACCAGAGCATCCATGCCCGCGCAATGATAACGTCCGTGTTACCAGAGCATCCATGTCCGCACGTGAACCCTGCCCTTGTACAGGCAACGTACATGTGGGCTTGGCGCGAGAACATGGGCGCCGTTGCCAAACCGCGTGCCCTGAAACAGGGCCTTGTGTGCCGAACCGCGCTCTGGGATATCAGGGCCTTGACGTGCTGTAAAACGCATGGGAGTGCGTGAAAACGAATTAGTTTGCACTATCTTGCACTACCTCTGTTCGCACAGTTAGGATGCCCCAGCCGACCAGGCAAACTACGCACGCGTGACCTAGTTATATGAGTTAAATCATATGTAGGATATGTTTTTTACATATACGATGTGTATGCATACTACATACAGGATAGACATGGTATTATGCACGATGTAATTTGGATCATCTAATTTCTATTCGGAAAGTACTTTCTAATATGAGCATCTACAATAGCAAGTGTACAAAAACACAACTCACACATGCCAAACAGAATGCGAACTATCAATAATCAATACACAAATGTACACAGCGCATTTAATGCGTATATGCTTATTTCATTATAAGTTTTCTCTTCCGTGCTGTGTAGTGATTTGAGCAGGCAATGATATGATACATGACATACCTATGTTCTTGGACCCCTCCCGGCAAAAAGAGGCTGTAGGGTTTAGGGTTTAGGGTTTAGGGTTTAGGGCCCGAAGGATGAAATTGCCCCTGCGAGGTGTTTGAGCAAGCGCATGGTCGCCGCCGATATGGACGATTGGAAGCTGCAGAAGCTGAACAAGGCCTTACTGTTGGTTAGCAGGGAATGGGGGAATAAGGAGATATATGTATTATATATATATGTATCATCCATTAGAGGGTCTATAGTGTATATATATATGTATATACACATAATTTGTTATTTATTTATTTATTTAGTTAGTTATTTATATGGTACCTGAATCCCCCCCTTCCCTACGAACCAACAGTATGAGGTGCGGCGGGCCGAGATTGTGACCCGGCTTGTGCGCCAGAACATCAGCTTGCAGGAGTCATGGGAACTGATGGGAACTGAACTGTTTAGGGTTTAGGGTTTAGGGTTTGGGGTTTAGGGTTTAGGGTTTAGGGTTTAGGGTTTAGGGTTTAGGGTTTAGGGTTTAGGCGTGTGAATCCCCAGCCCTGAGTCCCGAGAAAGGAGTTCGGCAGCGAGTGGGTGGACGATGCCCCAACCATCGCAGCCACCAAGCTGGCCGGCCAACAGGCGGCGGAGGAGATCGCGCACAAGGAGTTCGCGGAGACGATCGCCAACACCCTGTCCGGCTCTATGCTGAGCGCAGAGGCCGTGCAGGACTTCGCGGCCTAAACCCTAAACCCTAGACCCTAGACCCTAAACCCTAAACCCTAAACCCTAAACCCTAAACCCTAAACCCTAAACCCTAAACCCTAAACCCTAAACCCTAAACCCTAAACCCTAAACCCTAAACCCTGGAGGAGTTCGCGGCCAAGCTGCAGGAGATGGCCGAGATGTGCGGGAAGGGAGACGAGGGGGAACAGTTGGCGCAGGATGAGCTGAAGCTCTTGATCCTTGGGGACTAAATAGGGTTTAGGGGTTTAGGGTTTAGGGTTTAGGGTTCAGGGTTTAGGGTTTAGGGTTAGGGCCTCATGTGTGGGGGGCCCCTTATGTTCGCAAACCCCCCAAAGGACGTCCAAAGGTGGCTGTACTTTCAGGCGACGCCTGAAACAGGTCAAGAGTTTACGAATAGCTACGACGGGGCAGACGGTAGGCACCGTAGACCACGACTTGAGTCTTGCATGCTCAAAAGCCGATGTGAAAGGAATTCCGATTGGAAAATGCACGCGCCGCAGCAGCACATGTGCAACAACAGGTTCAATTTTCAACCCGGTTTTTGTGGTAGATGAGAACATGACGCATCCGAAAAGTCACCATGGAAGAAAACCTGAGGGGAATTCAGCACATGCCGGTACAGATTGCTGAGAGCTCAGCAGTAACCTCTCTCTTATGCGTATCAGGTCTCTGACTTGTTGCTACATGGACGATGAACCAAAATTTGGGGGTTCACGGCTTGGGGTTTAGGGTTTAGGGGTTCATGTGCTTCCCAAGGAAAGGCAACATGAACATGTCAGCGATGGAGTCCACCGTGGCGCACGAGCTGGCGGAGCACGTGCAGAACATGTGTCAGGTGGGGACCTTTCGTTACAAACATGTCGCTGTAGCATGTTTTGGGGTTTAGGGAGTTTAGGGTTTAGGGGGCTCCTCTTATACATCACCTGTTCCCCTAGGAAAGGAAGCTGCAATGAGATATGAATGTGCCCCGTAAGGTGAACGTGCTGGACATGGATTTCTTTGTCACGCGCCTGGGAGATCCCGGCGACTGTAGTGAGCTGATCGGGGCTTCCTTGCTGTCAAGGATGCGCATCTTGGAGACGACTCGGAGGTTCAGGGTACTTATAACCCTTATTATCGCTGTACTTCTATAAGCCCCCCAGGTCCCCGAAGTAGGTGATAAGTAGACTTAGAATTGGGGGTTATAAGTACCCATGAACCTCCAAGTAAATGAGCTGCCAAAGTCCACAGCGCTTTATGGTGCTAGGAAGTAGAGTGATATCGCGTTGATGACTGACATCTTTCGGGGTCACTTCGTGCCAAGGCAAGGAAACCCAGAAGTTGGACTACTATGCCAAGTCCAGTGTGGTGCTTCACACGAAGGAGAACGGCCTTGGCCACCACTTTCTGAAGCTTCTGATGCGTGAGAACCTTGAGGACGAAATGGACCCTAAAAGGGTTTATGGCCCACATTACCTTAATAGAGATTGTAGTAGTATAGGGGTGTATGACCCTAAAAGGTTTATGGCCCATATTGCCTTAATAGGCATTATGGTAGTATAGGGGTGTCTGACCCTACTTTTTTCGGGTTCTTTGCGTCCCCAAGGAAGGGGGAGAGCGATGACTTCAAGGCGCGGCTGAGGAACGCCACGGGGGAGCACGCTGAGCACCTACCGAGCATGAGCCGCCTGCGCTTGCTGGACTCTTGGTAGCCCAATGGTACAATTTTTCTTTTTTTTTTGGGGGGGTTCAAGGTTCCCTTATAAAGTAGCCAACCCCAAAAAAGGGTGCGTACAATTTTCCTCTTGTTTTGGGTTCAAGGTTCCCTTATAAAGTAGCCAACCCCAAAAAAGGGGGTGCCCTTATTGTGATATGGTTTCTGCGAAACCAAGGACTTGAAGCACTTTGAGCACGTGCACGGCTACACCGTGGAGAGGTGGGGGGCTTGCGAAAATAGAAGGCCTCCCCCCAAAACTAGTAAGATGCCCTCATAATAGGAACCCCAATAAGGTACCCCTAGTTTCATAAGCCCCGCATGAGGCCCTAGACACTACACCCTACACCCTAAACCCTAAACCCTAAACCCTAAACCCTAAACCCTAAACCCTAAACCCTAAACAGGTACTGCAAGGGCAACCTTCACTCACAGGAGGCGGCCCAGTGGGTCCGCGAGAGCCCTGAGATTCAGCGCTACGTGGACTGCCTCTGCACACGGCAGCAGCCCTCCTTGCTCTGCGACCTGCAACATTCGGAGGAGTTAGGGTTTAGGGTTTAGGGCGTAGGGTGTTTAGGGTTTAGGGTTTGGGGTTTAGGGTTTAGGGTTTAGGGTTAAGGGTTTCGGGTTTAGGGTTTAGGGTTTAGGGCTCTGCGACCCTCAGCAGTCGGAGGAGCTGGAGACCCTCCGGCCCGCCATCACGCGGCGCCTGGTCGCGGCCCAGACGTCCGCCAACAGCGCCAGCCTGCTGCAAGTCGCCGAAACTTAGGGACACTTGGGAACATTTTTGTGTTTTTTGGCACGATAATTCCTAAGAAGCTTAGGAATACTTGGGAATCTTTCTCTAATCGTTGGGCACTATTATAATTCCGAAGAAGCAGCAAAAAGATTGTGTTTTTTGCGAGGGTTGCAAGTTCAGTAGAGGAAAGCCTCAAGTCCAAAGGCATCGGCTTGGGGCCTTGCCTTAGCGGTGGGGGCCTCTCCTGCAACTTCTGCGTGAGTGGCTCGGTAGCCCTAAACCCTAAACCCGAAACCCGAAACCCTAAATGTGAAACGAATGGGGCCGAGGGGAAAGCCTACAGTAGCTAGGGGCAACCTACGACTACCCTCCCCCGGCCTTGTCCTTTTCTGCCGTCGCAGAGCTTGATCGAGTGGCCTTGCAAAGCGAATCGTTCGAAATTTCGGGCTTAGTGGAGAACCTCAGGATATCAATCAATGACAAAGTACTCGCTAGGATGCTTCCCGTGAAGATAGGAATCCTCAAGTTTCACACTGGTTCTCCACTTCGCCTTTTTGTTGTTGACTGTGCCCCCCTCTCCTCCGATGGAAATTGGCACCACCAGGAGTGAGTCTTGTCGTTCCCACCATTCGGTGGGGTTCTGGGGCTTCGTCAAAATATCTCCTAATTGCAAACTTCCCGGTATCCAACCGAGAGGTAAATCTTCGCACCACATCTCTAGCTTCAAAGCTTGGCGGAGCGAGGCAAGATCCACTGCCAGTCGTTTGTCGCTAGGCACCCTTGGGACTCCCTGCTTAGTCAAATGATCGTACAAAGACCGGCAGTCCGACAAACAGACTATAGGCAGCTCAGCTGACTCAACGTCCACGATGCTACCCCGGCTCATCGATTCATAGAGAGACCTCATGAACTCCGCTGACTCCAATCCCTCTACGCAAGCCTGGGTTTCGGCGCCGAAGGTGCTCCTGCATACTCTTTGCCCCGCCCTCGACCTCCAGTCTGCGATGCTGAAGTTGCTGGGACACCCTTGTAGCGCTCGTCGGTCGGCGAAGAGGATCAAGCAACCAAGCTGAGAGGCCACCTTTGACCGCCCTTTCTTCGCCTTCCTGGAGGTGTTCTTGTAGGCATAGGGCCCTTCATGTTGGACTCCCCTCTCATCGTCAGACACCGAAAGCTTGTAGTACTCCTCGTCGAGGTCCGGCTCAGGCACGTTGGCCCAGGCGGCATCGTGGTAGGCGATGAACATCAATTGCCCTTCGGAAATGGCCTTGAAGGTCAAGCCGCGGTCTTTGAACGACTGAGCTTTAGCCGCGATGGAGTTGGTGAACTTGAGGTCGCCGTAGGTGGGCTCTTTCTGGAGTTGTTGAGCCATGCTCACTGCACAAGTCATGTCGGGCCGGGTCTGTGCAGACAACCACGACAGTGCCCCTATCAGGCTCCTGTTGTCTGCAATCAACTCCGTTGAGGCCACTTCTTGTTCGTCGACCCCAGCAGGAATGTCCAAGTAGAACAGTCTCGTGGTTGTATATCGTTCTTGATCCATGGTGATCAAGCCGTCCTTGGTGCTGATCCTTGAACCGAGAAAATCGAAGTTGTCGTCCTCCCAGGAATCGATTGGGAACACAACGGAGAGGGCATTCTGTACGAGGGAGAGCAGACTTCCCGGGGCCGCTATCAACAAGTCGTCAACGTGGCAGCCCAAGTAGGCCACGGGCTCGCCGACAAACCCGGAGTCCGGCCTGTATCGTCGCAGCATGAACACGCAGGGGTCGAGAGGACATTGGTCGAACCTCAGGGTGCCGTCGCCTTTGGGGTCCGGGATGTTGACCTGTCCAATGCCTCTCTGAAGATCGCCCCACCACTCATGAGGACTGGTGGCGAGCCCGAATACATTCTTCTTTACCCTCACCAGCTCGTTGGGCTTCATGCCAGGGAACCCCGTGGGGGGTTGGTGGATGTAGAGCTCCCTTGAGAGATAGCTTCCCGTGAGGAAAGCACATGTGATGTCGCCAGCAGCCAATCTCCAGCGGTCTTCGGCTCGTTTGTCCATTGGCAGCCTTTTGCAAGATGCAGGCTAGGCCAGCCCTCGTCAAGGTGGGTGCATCGGTGGATAGCCTTTCCACCCCAAGGTCCGGGTCGGTGTGCCCGGCTATCACTAGCCGAGCCTTGGGCTTCCAGGGGATACTCTGGGCGGTGATGCTCGTGTCCGCCTCGTTCTTGTTGTTCTCCTCCCTGCGCTTGGACCAATTCTTGTCTTTGTAAGCCCATCTAGAGCGAAGCACCCGATCTGTTCCAACTTCATCCCTGATCCGTCGGCTTTGTTCGGCGGTGAGCGGTTGTAATGCATCGTATTGCAGGTGTTCCTTCCACTGCTTTTCTTCTGCGTCGCGGAATTGCTGGTGCATCTCGCTTGGGATCTCGTTCCACTTCAGCTCCTTTTCTTTTCTCTTTTCGACCGCAGCATCATTGCTTCATGTCCTTCACGACGACCTTCTCCAAGTTCGGCTACATGCGTCTTTCGCTTCAGGCGATGTCTGGGTCGAAGCTCTTCTGTCAAGGGGTCGCCGGCATCGTCTCCAATAGCCTCGAGCTCCACATCATCATCTTCTTGGCCGCCGCCTTCCGGATCTCCATCTTCCCCATCGCTCTGGTAGACCGCGGGGTCGTCCATATCCTGCTCAAGAAGTTGTTCGACTTCTCGTTGCACTCCCTTCATGACCAAGAATTCTCCGACCTCTTCAGGGGATGCGGGTCGAAGGTGCTCCGGCGCTGTAAGTCTGCACCTGCCCCCTTTTGAGACCCAGTAATTGCCGCCCTCCTTTCCGACGATGACGCCAGGACCTGACCAACATCCTCGCCTCCGATCTTTGCGATGATGCCAGAAGTGTACTGCTTCTCCAACTTCAAGCGGTCTCGCCGTAGTTCTGGCCCGCTGGAGAAGAGCGCGACGGAGTCTATCGTCTAGTTGGCTTTTGTGGAAGGCGACCCTGGCAGCTGCTCTCATCGCCGCTTGCCTCTGGAACTTCGCCTCGTTGGAGAGATCCCAAGCGACTCGCTCTCCACCATCTGGGTCTTGTAGGTCTTCAGGGACTCGAGGGGCCTTTCCGAAGACCCACTGCGACGGTGCGTAGCCACACCTTCTTCTGAGGTCGTTCTTTGCAGCACTGATGATGGGCACCACGATGTCGACTTCTTCACCGGATATGTTCAGCTCGTGGATGACTCTCTCCCAGATGTTTTTCCACCACGCTCCTTGCCGTTCGACCATTCCAGCTTGCCAGTGTCCCTGGGTTGCAATTGGCCGCAGGGCAATGTTGTGCCAGTCGCATAGCCTTCCAATCCCTTTCTGCAGGCCGCCTTCTAGATCCACCGCTACTCCCTTCGGGGCTCCATAAGGCAGTATCCACAAATCGTTGAAGGCTCGCTCGATGTCGTCTCCTGACTGCGCCTTCACCCTGGTGACCGCATGGAACGAAGTGCCATAGTCGATGACCGAGAGAAAAGCGTGTTTCTCGTCATCGATGTCGTGAGCATAGAAGACGTCGATGCCCAAGAGGTCGCCGAAGTCATACATGTGTGGTATGGTACTCGGTCGTGCCACCTTTGGTCCAGCGGTTGCGGCACAAGTCTCACACCTCAAGGTTTTGGCAGCCTTCAACACTTGTGCTTCGCATCCGGCCAATCTCAGATGACGTACGAGATCTTCCTATCGAGGATGCCCAAGATTTTGATGTAGGCGTTTCAGGGCGCTCCCGATGGCGGGGGAGATCCCCTCTCCGAAGGTGATCCCAGAGCCATCTAGAGCAGGAGGTCGACCGCTGCTCGCTTCACCTGTCTCTCCGTAGACCACTTGGATGTTGTGGACTCGGTCGTGGCAACCAATTGCTTCAGCGCCAGGTCGTTTCCGGAAGATTACCATCTCGAAGGCGTTCTTCCCACCGATGTTGTTGAGGTACTGGACGTGGGGCTTGCACGCTTTTTCAAAGAAAGCATCATGGAGCAAGGAATCATTTAGGTCGCCTCGTAGGACTGTGGTGTTCCCGTTCTCGATCTGGACCGCTATAAGCTGACCGAGCGCTTCGTCATCCTCACTTCGCTTACCCCACAGCGAGACGTTTAGCTCCCTGGGGTACCCTCCATGTACGATGTGGAAGGCGGCCTCTTTCCCATCAGGTAGAGCATAGTCGTCCCAGCCATAGGGCTCATAGACGTTCAAATTGAGCGCAACTGCCTCTTCTGTAGCCTGAGTGTCGCCGATCTCGAACAAGGCCGCGAAATTGTGGTGCCCGCAATCTGCTATCTCGGAAGTGAAGGACTTGGCGGCTGAGAGAAGTGTCGCGAAGAGTACCCCAAGCTTCCCAGCGTTGTGGAACAGCCCTTTTCGTTGCCTCTTCCCAGGTACAACGCGGCCGGACACTACAGACTCTTCGCATCGAAGCCCTCGCCCTGGAGAACGAGGGAGGGGGAAACCGACGTTGCACAGGAACTTCTTCATCTCCTTGTCGATCTTGTTGATGCTTCGGGTGGTGTGGAAAATGAGACACCACCTGTCTCCCTCCCATTCGCACGTTTGGTGCTTTCGGAAAGGATCGAAAGAGACAAAGTTGTGCCTGGTGTCGCGAACTTTGCCGGGTAGCCAGGCACCTCCGGGTGTCTGCTTCCAGACAATGTCCTTGCTCTTGGTCTCCTCTTCGGTGATGTCCTTCTCTTCGATCCACAGACCACCACCACGAGGCTCTCCGAGGACGACCGAATGGTTCAGGGTCCCCTTCTCGTTGTTACAGTCGTGATGGAGCTTTGTGGCACAATTCCGGGACAGCGTCACGGAGGACCAAGAGGTCCCCGCAGGAAGATGTGACTTGCCAAACTCGTTGATGTAGCGCGCCAGAATGTCGTTCTCCTTGGTCTTGTTGGTGATCCCGAAGTTGCCGCCGTGAGTGTAGAGGCCGAAGGTGCAGTAGTCCAGATAGTCCCCAGCGGCCCCAAGTATCCTGCCTGATCCGGGCTGTGTTCCCGCTGTCACCAGGCGCGGGATCGAGGACGAAGGACTCGTGGAGATTTTCGTGGCCATGTGCGAACATTTCCCCGGTGATGAAGTCCGTCTTGTCGTCCTTGTCGAACGAGCCACAGCATCCTGCAAGGCGAACGCCGGTCTTACCTCCAAATTGGCTGCCTGGCGTTCCTTCACTGCTCCCGCGTCCGCGATCCACCTCCTGCTCCGGGCCACGGGGTTGCCCTGGCAGGAGTCTGGAGTCCTTCAGGCTTGCTTCTCCGGGGCAGGCCCTTGCTTGTAGCCCCCCTTTCCACTCGCCTTCTGCTTCAGTGCTGCCAGCTTTGCCTCCAGGGTCTTGATCTCCTCCAGTGCCTGGCTCGTTTCCTCTCGCTCCACATCCATGTCGAGCGGTTTCTCTCCCCTGCGCTTCACTCCCGGGCTCGAAGTCGTCGCAGGCGGAAGAGGGTCGTCTCGAAGAAGCGACCACTCCGAAGGGGTGAAGTCGGACCTCGTCGATCGCGCATCCAGGTTGGTGGGGTAGGGAACCGTGGCTGTGTCCTCGATGGCGGTCTCGGTGTAGGTTTTCTTGACGAAGTGGTTCGCATCCCACCATCGAGCAAACCGGACTAGCTCCGGCTGAGCATTGTCGTTGACCTTAAACTTCCTTGAGCGCCCACTCCCCGTATCCCGGGGGGATCTCCTGGAACTCGTACCCCCTGAACTTTCCAATCTTCATCAGCTCGTTCCCGGGCGTGTTGGCACTCTGACGGATTGCCCTCATGAGGTTCCCCTTGGTCACCTTGTCGTTGTACTGGACTCCTAGGCTGTCGGCTTTGGCCTTCATCTCGCTGAGGCTCATCTTGGATATGGACTTCATCAAGTAGGCCGGATCCGATTCCATGTGTTCCATCCTGTGTTCGACTATGACCGCCTTGATCTCTTCCGTCTTCCAGCTTTGGTGGACCAGGAGCCCCAGGCGCAACGCCTCCTGGAGCAGCTCGTTCTTTGTCATCTTGCTGATCGCCGGTGTCCGGGTCGAGGCGCCGCTCTTCGGAGGGGTGCATGAGCTTGACGACATGTCCGGGGTCGCTCGTGACGGGGCTGAGGGCATGCGAATTGCTTTTGTTCTTAGCGAACATGCTTCGACCAACCCACAGCAGCGGAAAACATGGTTCCCCCTTGGCTTCTTGCTTCCACCTGTCGACTACGGCTTCGAGGGGTTTTCCGGAACGACAGCACATGCCCTCAGTCGTGCGAATGTCACCAATCATCTGCAACAACATGCTCTTCTGCACTGAATGGTCAGTTCTCCACAGATGGGGATTGAAGAGGGCCCTTCTCGGAGTGACATGTATCCGTACCCAAACGTGTTCACCTTCTAGCCAGAAATCAGTGTTAATACGGGTCCTATGCCACCAAGCCATAAAACTGACCTCGGGGAGACGATCCTGGAGAAGGAGCTCCTTGACTTCGACATCTAGCTTCTTGTCATAGTAGATCCGAAAGGAGTTAGGGTTGAGGTTGAGACTTAGGGGCTCGCTCACCACGTACGCCATGTATTCGCCGGTGGCCAGGGCTCCGCTATCGTCCAGGACGAGTTCTTCCCCTGGATGTTCGGCCTTTGCCGGTCTAATTGGGATCGCAGGATGCCCCGATCGATGAGGTAGTGAGCATCTCGAACCCCTTTAGGTTCACTCTCTGGAAGTCAGCTCGGTTGGCTGCAACATCGTAAATCATCCCGAGCTGTGCAAGGGCTTTCTTTGAAAGCAACAGCGGAACATCCCCGTTGATGATGGAAACCTTGGTGGTCACGACTCGGCTGCCCATCCGGAAACTGATCTTCACGTAGAAGGAGGAGTAGTGGACCTTGCCTGTGCCGAACCGGAACGCCTCGCTCTCTCTGGCCAGGCTCGGAGTGTGACCCATCTTGCTAGCCTCATCGCTGTACTGTTGAAGCCACGAAGTTCCTGCCACGGATTTCGCACATGCCGTGTCTGTGATTCCCAGAAGCCAGGCTCCTTCATGTCGAAGAGAGTACACCTCCATCGGCACATGGTGGCACACCTCAACCTCCTTCACCGCCGCGTCCTTGTTAGCATTCTTGGGACACTCGGCATCGCGATGCCAGTGCCCTTTCCTTCCACATCCGCTGCAAAAGCTTTTGGCTTTCATTTGTTTGATGCGGTCTTCGCGGTCGTCGCCCTTGTACTTGCTCTTGCCGTCGTTGTTTCCGCTTGACTTGTCGCCCCAGTACCCTCTGGCTTTCATCTGGTCTTTGTACTTGGTCTTGGCACTCTGGTAGGTGACGTACGCCTCCACGCATTCCTCGGGGATCCCGAAGGTCTCGTCGCCCTCGTCGTCTTCAGAACCGGATGCCCGGGGATCTTCGTCGTAGGAGGTCATGTTGGCGACGTGAGCACGTTTCGACCGCCCATTCTCCCATGGTTTGCGGTGACCACGGTCCTGAATGACGGCTGCCTTCTGGAGCTTGTTCAGCGAGTACGTGTTCCCGACACTCGCCAACAAGTTCAGCTCCGCCGACTCCTCCAACTGCAACCTGTCCACATACAACCAAGCAGCACAATCTTCAGGAATCGCGCACCCAACTTCTCGTAATCGAGCATGTAGACGGTCGTACTCGGAGTTGTAGTCCCTGATGCTTTGTCCTGGTTTTCTCCGTAGGCGACGAAAGAACTCTGAGAACGCCTTGCCAATCTTCGTGATTTCGAGGTCTGAGGTCTAGGTACCTGTTGCTGACCCATTCCACAAAGAACCCAACTCCATCGGCCCTGCTCAAGCGGTCCATGTCGAGTTCTTCAGCTGCGATCCATGCCTTTCCTTTGAGGTGTTGGTATAACACCAAAGCTTGTTGGCGACTTGGGAGTGTAGTCATCCTTCTCCATGCTTCGATTTGGCGAAGGTACGAGCGCGCTGTGCCCCCGACGTCTTCGCCGTCTTCTCCGTCGAAAGAGGGTACCACGAGGCGTTCCGTGGCCCTAGCGCCTGGTTTGCTCCCAGGCTCATCTGCCTCTCCGTGGGAGCATGCTTTTCCGTCGCCATAGTGTCGCCAACCTTCCCAGGCTGCGCGAGGGAGGTCACGGGGATCGATGCCAGGTCCTTTGTTGTCTCCGCCATCTGCCCGGGGAGGTGGTCGGGGAAGATCATCTCGGCCATCTCGCCCAGCAGCATCATCGCCTCGGCTTCCTTCACTACTCTGCGATTCCTCGACTCTAGGTGGCGTCCAATCTCCCCATGACGTAGAACGACTCCAGGCGCTTTGGTTTCGCCAGTAGCCATCCCATGGATCTCGCCACCTAGCACTTTCCCACCAGGCATGGCTGCGCCAACCATCCGAGGGCCAGGCTCCCCATGACTGGTGGTCACCCTGACCCCACTCATCCCATTGCCTAGGTCCGTCTTCTCGATGTTGGGCAGGGTGGTCCGCATAGTAGGACACTCCGTCCCTTTGGTCACGTACATCGCCTGCAGCTTGGCCTCGACAGGCCTCTCCACCTTCGACTGGAGGATCTCCGGGAACATCGCCGGAGGGGAACGACATCGCGAGGACTACTGGAGCATACAGGCTCCGCTACCAATGTGAAACGAATGGGGCCGAGGGGAAAGCCTACAGTAGCTAGGGGCAACCTACGACTACCCTCCCCCGGCCTTGTCCTTTTCTGCCGTCGCAGAGCTTGATCGAGTGGCCTTGCAAAGCGAATCGTTCGAAATTTCGGGCTTAGTGGAGAACCTCAGGATATCAATCAATGACAAAGTACTCGCTAGGATGCTTCCCGTGAAGATATGAATCCTCAAGTTTCACACTAAACCCTAAACCCGAAACCCTTTTTTTGGGGTTCTATAGGTTCCCTTATAACGTAACCTACACCCCAACAAGGGGTGCCCCTTATTATGATATGGCTACTGGGCTACCCAAGGTGGGCAGTGCATGGATCAAGGCGGAGGCTTCTCCTTGAACCACCTCTCAGCCCTGACGACCCTGCTTAAGGGGCCGCAGAGCTGCCTCTCAGGAGACTGCTCCTTGTGCATGGGCTTGAACCCTAAACCCTAAACCCTATAAACCCTATAAACCCTATAAACCCTATAAACCCTATAAACCCTATAAACCCTATAAACCCTATAAACCCTATAAACCCTATAAACCCTATAAACCCTATAAACCCTAAACCCTAAGGTGCATGGGCTTGAAGCCGGGTGACCCCCTGGAGTTCGTTCTGAGCTTTGGGGTTGCCATGGAGTGCGGCAGCACTGCCGAGATCCTTGGGGACCAAATGAACCCTAAACCCTAAACCCGAAACCCTGAACCCTGAACTCTGAACCCTGAACCCTTGTTCTTAGGCATCACAAACCCTATTGGGGTGTCGGGTTTAGGGGGTTATAAGCCCTATACTACTAGAACCCCCATTAAGGTACATGAACCATGAACTCTTTAGGGTTCATGTGGTCCTTAAGGATGTTCACCAGCTTCCACATTTGGGCCGCCCTAACGCTTTGCATTGGTGGTGTGCTTGGAAAGATTGCAAACGCCATTGGCTGGTCGGCCTGCGCCGGACTGGCTCACGTCGGCTACTTCCCATTCATCAACAAGATGCTTGCTTAGACAACAGCTGAACTTTAAACTACTTGGGTTTCCTTATTTAGTAGGAATGGTTTAGGGTTTAGGGTTTAGGGTTTAGGGTTTAGGGTTTCGGGTTTAGGGTTTAGGGTTTAGGGTTTGGGGTTTTAGCCCTTTTTATCCCTGGGGTTGTTGGAGAAGTAAGGATGACGATCCGGATCTCGCTGCCCATTTTCATCCCGCCGCCCCTCGGGCTGGCGGCTCCCATCGAGGTGAACCTGAACCTCGGTGACCTGACCCTTGGAGACGAAATGGGCCCTAAAAGGGATTATAGTAGTATATTTCCTTAAAAGGGATTATAGTAGTATATTACCTTAATAGGGATTATAGTAGTATAGGGTGTATGACCCTACTCTTAGGGCTCTTTTCGTCCCGAAGGACCCCTGCCGTATATTCCTACTGCGGTGGCCTGGGCCATGGGGAGTACAACTGCCTCCAGAGCATGTTTGATGCCCGCGGGCCCACCGGCGTCAGCATGGGTGTGGACTTGCTCGTGGGCGTCCAAATCCCCGTGCTGCTCGGAAGCCCAGCGTTAGCCTTTTTCCTTCTGTTTGTTGGCTTCTTCCTCGTTTGTAAGCATTGCAAACAGAACCGAGGGCACACCTGACTAATGATAACACGGCGAAAGGGCTCATTGTCCAAACCGCAAGCCCGAAACTACCCCAAACCCTAAACCGCAAAGCCTAAACCCCTAAACCCCTTGTTAGTTCTAACAGTTCTCAGGGCATGTTGGCTGCACCTAAACCCGAAACCCTAAACCCTAAACCCTAAACCCTAAACCCCAAACCCTAAACCCTAAACACCCTACGCCCTAAACCCTAAACCCTACACCCCAAACCCTAGACCCTAAACCCTACTGAGGCTGGGCACCGTGGGGAAGTGGGTGCGGATTTTAGGGTTCGAGCTGACGGAGAAGGACAACTCGAGGGAGTTGGCGATGAACAAGGCCCAGTCGGGGACCTGTATAAATATAGAAAAAATGAATATGAAGATGTATGCATATGTATATATATATATATGTGTCTAGACATATATAGATTTAGGGTTTAGGGTTTAGGGTTCACGGTTTAGGGTTTAGGGTTTCGGGTTTAGGGGGTCATATTCCCAAGACTTCTTATCGGGGTTTCCCGGAATTGGGGTCAACGTTCTGGGGGTTCCCATAATAAGGATGACTGTTTGATTGTTTTTTTTTTTGGGTTTAGGGTTTAGGGTTTAGGGTTTAGGGTTTAGGGTTTAGGGTTTAGGGTTTAGGGTTTAGGGGGGGGAGGGGGGGGGGGGGAGGGGGGGGGGGTGGAGGGGGGGGGTGTCTTGGGGGGGGGGGTGAATTCCATAGGATATAGGGGTGCCCCTATTTGGGCAATGTCCTCTTTTATTGGTCCACATGCACCACAGATATTCCTATATAGGAAGCCCCTAAAGGCCGGGGTCACCATTGAGTACATCGGCAAGAGCTCGCACTCGCTGGTTTGCGGGAAGACCTTCTCCAACGTCGATTGCGCCCCTTACCAGCCCTTGGCGGTTGACAGGGAATTGAGGATTAGGGTTGCCCTTTTGGCAGGTTCCCCGAATTAGGATTAGAGGAAGTTTGGGGGGTATTCTGGCAAGTCCCCTAAGTCTCCCTAAACCCTAAACCCTAAACCCTAAACCCTAAACCCTAAACCCTAAACCCTAAGCCCTAAACCCTAAACCCTAAACCCTAAGTGCTCTACTTCTAAGGTCCAACATGCGGGCGACCCGGGCTTCCGCGCGAACACTCAAGACAACCACAAAGGAGACCGGTTCCACGTCTACCGCAACCCTCAGGACCTCCCCACCCACCTGATCGGGTTTAGGGTTTAGGGTTCGGCTGGGTTGTGCTTTGGGATCATTTCTAATTTCCCTTCTTTCCCTATAAGGGAACCTGTTCATAGATAATTTGCAAAGGGTTTACCGCACAACTCAGTAAGGACCAAATGAGCCCTGAAATTGGGATCATTAGACCCGAATCCTACTGTAAACCTTATTCGGGCACATGGACCATCAGCCTTTAATTAGGGCCCTTCATATACCCTAACTCTGCAATCCTGATTAGGGTTGAATATGAACCAGAAGCCTTTTTAGGGTTCCTTTGGTCCTGAAGGCAAGCAGATCCATGTATCGTCACCGGCCCTCTTGTCACTTCGACCCTAAAGGAAGACATGGTAGTTCAACCCCTAAAACCCTAAACCCTAAACCCTAAACCTTAAACCCAATCTCCGAAATCCTAACTTGAAGTGCTTGAGGACCCGAACGACCCTCGGGCCGTGTGCGTGAAGCGCGTGGACAAGAACTCGGGGTGGGGCATGGAGCTTGAGTTGGCGTGCAAGGTGCCTTTATCTGTGTTTTTGGAAGGGTTTAGGGTTTAGGGTTTGGGGTTTGGGGTTTGGGGTTTGGGGTTTGGGGTTTGGGGTTTAGGGTTTAGTGTTTGGGGTTGGTAAGGCTGAGTAAACTTAGCGAATCTCTGAGGGGCAGGAGAAAAGCTCAAACAAAGCCTTTGTTCCCTACTTGCACTGTCATACTGAACTCTGTGGCGGCATCCCGCCACTGTTATAAGGTGGACAACCTTTGTTTCCTACTTGTACTGTCATCATGAAATTCTGCGCGATATTCCGCCACTGTTATAAGGTGGACAACAACCAGGGTGGCGGGGGTGGCATCCTCATCCCTTTGGGCAAGACCGTTCACAACAAGAAGTGCGTGATGCCTTCGGAGCCGGTGTTTTGCCACGAAACCCTAAACCCTAAACCCTAAACCCTAAACCCTAAACCCTAAACCCTAAACCCTAAACCCTAAACCCTAAGCCCTAAACCCTAAACCCTAAACCCTAGGTGTTTTGCCACGGCGACTCGGGAAACCGGGGACATCGCTTGGGCTTCGACAGCCGGGATGACGACTTCCAGATTACCCAGGAGCCTATTGGGGTCTAAACGAAGCCTAAAAGGGGTTTAGGGTCCCATATGCCCCTGGCAGGGATTGTAGTAGTACTTGTATTAGGCTCTAGACCCCAATTTTTAAAGTTCATTTGGTCCCCAAGGAGGGTGGCCGCGTGTGCGGGCATCTTGTGCATCGTCGGCGGAGGCGCCGGCGCCACCGGCGGCGCCGCCACAACCCTAATGGCTGGGACTTGAACTTGGTGCTCGAGTGCGACTCACAAGGCCATGAAATGGACTACGTGGTGCAGGATGTGAACTTCGGGAAAAGCCAGACCGACTACCGGTGTATCTTGCCCACACACCGCATGGAGTGCGACCACGATGCCGGCAATGCGGACAAGCGCGCCAACGACCACAAGAACGGTGACACCTTCGAAATCTGGAACTCGCACACGCAGCACCTCTGCGCAAGGCGGACCGACAAGCACTCGGGGTGGGGCATGGACTTGAAGGTTCAGTGCAAGCAGTACGAGAAGCTTTGGGACAGGGTGAAGGTGACGATCGGCGGCAGCCAGCACAACGAAAAGTGCGTCCCAGAGCCCCGAAAGCACATCCGCTGTGATGATTTGGCCGCCAACCCGCAGTATCGCTTCACTCGGACGGAAAAGGGGGACAGCTTCTACATTTCTCAGAGGGATGGGCATGTTTGTGCCCGCCGCACAGATTCGCATGGCGGCTGGGGCATGCACCTGGAGATCGAGTGCAAGGGGCTGCTGGGACCCTTTATGGATGTCCACATCGGGCCAGGCTACACGCCAGCTGGCTACCGCTGTGTGTTGCCGACCCACCAGCTGGAGTGTGACGCTGACGCGGGCGACGTGCACAAAAGGCTGAATCCCGATCCACACCACAACACTTTTGCCATCTGGACATCTCACACCAGACACATCTGTGCCAGACGGACCGATGCGCCAGGAGGTTGGGGCATGGATCTCAAGATTCAGTGCCAACCTGGCAGAAAGCTCTGGGACACGATCGTGGTGGACATCGGGGCCAGCCACAGCAACGAGAAGTGCGTGGCGGCACCAAACGACCGGGTCAAATGCGACTACTTGGCCGCGAACGCGGAGTACCGCAAGACGGCGACGCACTATACCGACTCTTACAACGTCGAGCACAAGGGCAGCCAAATCTGCGTGCGGCGGACCGATGACCCTACACTTGGCTGGGGGGCTCCCATCGTCATTGAGTGCAAGGAGACCCCGGAGGATCGGATGGTTGTCCACATTGGTCCGGGACAAACGCCCTCCAACTATGTCTGCGTTTTGCCGACTCACAAGCTGGAGTGTGATGCCGATGCAGGTGACGTTCAAAAAAGGCTAAACCCTGATCCACATGGTGACAAGTTTACCATTTGGACCTCGCACACAAATCACATTTGTGCGAGACGCGCAGATGGGGGCACACATTGGGGGATGGACCTGCAGATAGACTGCAAGAAAGGCAAGAAGCTCTGGGACAAGATCGAGGTGGACATCGGGGCCAGCCACAGCAACGAGAAGTGCGTGGCGGCACCAAACGACCGGGTCAAATGCGACTACTTGGCCGCGAATGCCGAGTACCGCAAGACAGCGAAGCAATTCACCGACTCTTACAACGTCGAGCACAGGGGCAGCCAAATCTGCGTGCGGCGGACCGATGACCCTACACTTGGCTGGGCGGCTCACATCGTAATTGAGTGCAAGGAGCACTAGTTGCTCTCGGCTTAGGGTGTCTTCACCAGCAAGCTGGAAATACAATTTTTGGGGTCACACAATATTCTCGCAGCAGCCTTCGTAGGCTGAAAATGAAGACGTTCAGTGCTGGACTGGCTGGCTCAAAATTTGCTGACTCTCGGGACAGGGACAGACTTCCGTCTTGAACGAGGGACAGGGTTACTGTAGGGTTTGAGGCCCGGGTGAAGCAAGGGCTTTCAGAGTTTCCGGCAGGTCAGGAAGAGCGAGACCCCCTCCGCCTTCACAGCCAAAATCTTCACTTCACAAGCCCTAAGCCTTAAGCCCGAAGCCCCAAACCCCAAACCCTAAACCCCAAACCCCTAAACCCTAAAACGTTAGTAGGGTGCCTTGCGTCCCAGGACAGGTAAACGTCGGCCGGGAGTTCTTTTCTGGGGTGCCGCTCCTGGAGTTGCTCCCTGGCGCGGGGGTTTTGGGGTTTAGGGTTTAGGGTTTGGGGTTTAGGGTTTGGGGTTTGGGGTTTAGGGTTTGAGGTTTGGGGTTTGGGGTTTGGGGTGTAGGGTTTGGGGTTTAGGGTTTAGGGTTTGGGGTTTAGGGTTTGGGGTTTAGGGTTTGGGGTTTGGGGTGTAGGGTTTGGGGTTTAGGGTTTGGGGTTTAGGGTTTGGGGTTTAGGGTTTGGGGTTCGGGGTGTAGGGTTTGGGGTTTGGGGTGTAGGGTTTGGGGTGCGGAGCTGCAATTTGTATTAAAGGAAAGAGTTGGGTAGAAGGATTGAGGGTCAATGTACCCGGTATAATTTATGGCTCAAGAAACTTGGGCAATGCGCCCTGAGGAAAAGAGTTTCTCTTGGTTTTGGGTTGGTTCGTCTCTCTGGTTGGTTCTGGGGAATTCATTCAGGCAGCTGTTGAGGGTTGACATCCTGGTTGGCCCCCCTTTCGGTTGCCCCCGTAGGTTATGAGCCCAAATTAGGTTCCCTGCGGTTTGTGTTTCGGCTTTAGGGTGGTAGTTTGAAGCAATGGCTTCTGGCTGGTTACAGACTGGTTCGGCGTCGTCGAGCTCCAATGTGAGCGATCAAGGTGAAGGTGGTGCCAAAAGGTCTGCAACGGGTCAAAAAGTGGTTCCCAATGTGGAAGCTCTAGTTGATGTTGGTGGTATGCGCGGTGAAGAGAAGCCGGTGGTGGGAGGACTGGAAGACCAGATGGAAGTGGTTTTGTTACGCCTTCTGAGCAAACATGGGCTTGATCTTCGAGCTGCGGAACCTACCGAGTCAACGGGAGTGCCAAAGGTAAGCTCCTCTACGACAAAGATGGTGGAGCAAGAGTGCCAGACAGAGCTGGTTGGGGATGTTATCCCTGTTTCCAAGCGAGCTCGCAACAAAGTGAGCTTCGCGACTGAAAGTGGCGATCTGTTGACAGGTGAAGCGGAAGAAACTGCGCCTGTTGCTGCAACAAAAGGCAGTATCCTCTTTGCTGGGGACGCAGGAGAAGACGTTCCTGTGGTTACGGTGATGAGTGAGGGAGAAATCCTGGAGTTGGAAGCGGCAAGGATACGGCAGGAGTCAGAAGAGGACTTGTATGCTGCTGGTGGAGGCAAAGTGCCTCAAGCTGCTGAAATTCCAATCATCGACTGTGATGGGATGACGTGGGAGCGCCATTTTCATGATGATGGGAGAGAATATCTTTACTGTTTAGACACTGGAGAGACCCAATGGGTGGTGCCTAAGAAGACTGGAATGGCTGAAAACAGTGAGGTGTCAGGCGTTGGAGTGGGCATTGTCCCTGTGGAAGATGAGCCAGCACTGGGTACTACCTCGTCTTCGTCGCCGACTGAGTCTTTTAGGGCACAACAGGGTAGCTTGGACAGTGTGAACAGTGGTGTAAATAGTGTAGGCGAAAAGGATTTTTCCTCTACTATCGGGGATAGCGGTCTTAGGGGTGGTACTGACGCTCAGACCTCGGGTTCTCCTGAAGAGGAAGGAATTTCTGGAAACCAAGCAGACATCGCTGGAGAACATCTGGATCGGGAAGAAATGGAAGTGCTTTCTGAGGGTGTAGCAGCGGTGGAATCGGTGGGTCCAGAAGATAAAGTGCCCAATGCGGAGGTTGGAGCTGTGTCGGCTGCAGAAGAGCGAGTGGTGGATGTGGTACCTGTCGTTCAGGGGAGTGGTCCTGGAGATTCGGATGACGAAGGGAAAAAGTTGTGCATTACGACTGAGGAGGTCTCTTCGTTTGGTGCCGGGAATTCTGCCATTCAAAGGGAAAATGAAGCTTCTGGAATAGCTGGAGACACGGTTGATCTGAAGGAGAAGGCCTGGAGCGCCAATGAAGCGCGGGTCAATGTGCCAGATAGTACCTGGAGTGCAAAGGGAGCACGGGTTGAGGCGCATATGGTGACACGTTCCGCGGATGACTGCAACAATGGGGCGCAGGTCTCCGTAGCAGCTGACGATGGAGGTTCACAGGTGGACGCACTGGTGCAGCCTGAAGTTGGCAGCGAGGAACAGAAAGATGAAGGCTACACCGGAGCCAATGTGGCAGCTGTGGCCAATGATGGTGATGATTCTCCTTTGGAAACCATGGAGCCAAAGGAGCCTGCGGTGGAAGAAAATGTGCCTGCCGCAGATGACCAATCAAATGACCCTGCAGTGGAAGAAAATTTGCCTGCTGCAGAAGGTTTAACTAAGGACTCCAATGGTGGGTCCACTCCCAAGAAGGGGGGAGTATTGCCGTCTGGAAGCTTGCCGGAAGTCGACACCGAGCAAACTGTGACAGATGAAGCGAAGCCATTGGCTGGAAAAGAGGATGGTCCTGAAATCCAGGAGCACAAGGTGGATGAGCTTGTGGGACTCGTGGAGCAGGACAAGCAGCTTGCCTCCAAGGTGGAAACAAGGGATGTTCCGGGAGCCGAAGAAACAATTCCGGTTTCTGAAGAACCAACGAAGAAACTGCCCAGAGCGGGAGCCTTGGATACACCTGGGGAGCATTGTTATCAAGAGGGAGATCAGATCATTGGTCTAGTGCGCTGCATCAATGGGTATGGAGCTTTTTTGGACCATGGCGATGTGAATGTATTGATTCCTGAGGAAGGGAAGAATACACCTCTTTTCAAATATGGGGACACTGTCAATGGAACAGTGAAAAAAGTGGAAGATGATGGTACCGTGATCTTGGACACCTGTCTGGTTTTGGAAGAGGACGAGGAGGACTCTTCTTCGACGCTGCGAAAATGGAAAGACAGCGGCTGGAGTACGTGGTGGACAGATTCATGGTATGCTGGTCAATGGTACCAAAGTTCCGACAGTCAATGGAACTGGAAGTCGGAAGAAGCGCAATCCAATGAGTGGTTTGCGGTTCAGGATCTCTCCTCAGAAGAACAAGAGGAAAGACAACTCTATGGTGAAAAGCTCTATAGAGCTCTCTTGGAGGATGAAAAAGCTGATAAGGCTTATTTGGGAAAATTATTGGGATGTTGTTGAGTCGTCCAACGGACGTGTTGGTGGATTGTGTCGCAGATCGTGCATTCCTGGAAGATGAAGCTCGGCGTGCATACGGCATCCTACAAAGGGATGGGTGGAAGCCTGATGGAACGGAACGCGCAGGCTTGGAAAAAACAACCACTTTTCCCAGGAAGCTGTACCACAACGCACTCTACGAACTGGCGCGAAAGAAAAGGAGATACAGTGGACCGGTTGTGGGTGAGGCGGTGGCAATGTTGCTAGACCAAGGCAAAGATGAGGATTGGAATGCCCTGTGGCTGGACACCAAGCAGTTTTTGCAGGAGCTTGATGGTGCAGTTGAATCGATGAGTAAAAGGGAGAACAAGCCGATTGAAGCCTATATGGACCCAGATCAGTATAGGAAAGCTCACATGACACCAAAGACTGTGTCGCCAGGGTACAGCAAACTCTGCAAATTCTTCAATCAGGGGAGGTGTCGCAATGGAGATGGGTGTCCCTATGAACATCGTCGTTATGGTGAAGGGTGGCCTGAAGGAGAGCCAACTGAGCCAAGGAACGACCAAAAAACTGGTGCCGGGGATGGGGACATCGGTGGCCCTCCAACTGATGAAGGTGCAGTGGATGAGGAGCAGCAGGAGCGGGAGGATTCAGCCTTCCGTGCCCAGTACAACTATGGTAAAGGGACATCAAAAGGTGAGCCTACGTTGGGTGAAGCGAAAAAGCGGCTGTGCCTGTACTACAATCAAGGTAGTTGTCGGTTTGGGAGTTCGTGCAGGTATCTGCACGATGACGATGCAGTATTGGAAGGGACTTGGGAGCCCGGCAAGGCGTGGGACAATGCTTCTCGAAAAGCCATAAGGGACGCAGGGTTCCATCATTGCTGCTTCGACTACTACCTCAAAGGGAATTGTCGCATGCGATATGAAGTTGCCTGTGGGGCAAAGGAACTGTCAAAAAGGGTCCAACAAAATGGATCGAAATCTGGTTATTAGCATGTCATCCGAAGGTGCGAGTGAACAGGATTTGAACCTGGCACTGGCGGACGATGCTGATCAGTCAATGGATGATGGCACAGCAGTGGTTATGGTATATGACCCGCAAATGCTGATTCAATCGCCAACGACTGATTGGGTCAAGCGTCGAGGTTTGACCGATCGTGTCATCTGGCCGGCAATAGCGGCTGCAGCACAGAGGATATGTGCTGAAATGGTTCAAGTGGATGTATTGAATGCCCAGCTGGGGACTGGGAGACTCCTTCTTCAAAGGAGAGATCAAGGACACTACGGTGATCTGCATCATCCATTCCATGAAAATCCGTGCTTGCCGGCGGTGGGAAATTATCCTCTTTCGGTGATGGGTGCATTGTTATCTCCTGGCCTGGAAAGGGAATTCAGAAATACTGAAAGGTTTGGAACTGCTATGGAGGCAATAGCCTATGAGTGGAGTCGCAGTCCAGGCATGGAAGTTCATGTTGAACTTATGGTGAGGGTAGCCAAAGTGGTTGCTCCGTTCCTGATCCTAGGAGGCCAAGGATTTGTGGTGAATTCAGAATTTCTCTGGCAGCGCG